GTATGTGTTATTAGATTGCGTTTTGAATAATTGTACCAGTTTTTTAGTTAAAGAAACTAAACAATTAGTTTTTTTAATGAAACAATAAAGAGTTAACACCAAACAATGCCTTCTGATCTGAGTTAATTTTCTTGTTTTTATTTATTAAATATGGTTTTTCGATTTTTAGTTTGCGCTCTTATGTCGGTGCTCTTTTGTCGGGAAATTAGTGCGCTCTTATGTCGGCGCTCTTATGTCGGCGCTCTTTTGTCTGCGCTCTTATGTCGGCGCTCTTTTGTCGTGCGCTCTTTTGACGGGGTGCCGGTCCCCACCCCATCAAATCAAGGTCCCCACCCCATCAAATCAAGGTCCCCACCCCATCAAATCAAGGTCCCCACCCCATCAAATTAATCAAGGTCCCCACCCCATCAAATCAAGGTCCCCACCCCATCAAATTAAGGTCTCCACCCCATCAAATTAAGGTCCCCACCCCATCAAATTAAGGTCCCCACCCCATCAAATTAAGGTCCCCACCCCATCAAATCAAGGTCTCCACCCCATCAAATCAAGGTCCCCACCCCATCAAATTAAGGTCTCCACCCCATCAAATTAAGGTCCCCACCCCATCAAATTAAGGTCCCCACCCCATCAAATTAAGGTCCCCACCCCATCAAATCAAGGTCTCCACCCCATCAAATCAAGGTCTCCACCCCATCAAATTAAGGTCCCCACCCCATCAAATCAAGGTCTCCACCCCATCAAATCAAGGTCTCCACCCCATCAAATTAAGGTCTCCACCCCATCAAATCAAGGACCCACCCCATCAAATCAAGGTCCCCACCCCATCAAATCAAGGTCCCCACCCCATCAAATCAAGGTCTCCACCCCATCAAATCAAGGTCTCCACTCCATCAAATCAAGGTCCCCACTCACCCCATCAAATCAAGGTCTCCACTCACCCCATCAAATCAAGGTCCCCACCCCATCAAATCAAGGTCCCCACCCCATCAAATTAAGGTCTCCACCCCATCAAATTAAGGTCCCCACCCCATCAAATTAAGGTCCCCACCCCATCAAATCAAGGTCCCCACCCCATCAAGGTCTCCACCCCATCAAATCAAGGTCCCCACCCCATCAAATTAAGGTCCCCACCCCATCAAATCAAGGTCTCCACTCACCCCATCAAATCAAGGACCCCACCCCATCAAGGTCTCCACCCCATCAAATTAAGGTCCCCACTCACCCCATCAAATCAAGGTCTCCACTCACCCCATCAAATCAAGGTCCCCACTCCATCAAATCAAGGTCCCCACCCCATCAAATCAAGGTCCCCACCCCATCAAATCAAGGTCTCCACTCACCCCATCAAATCAAGGTCCCCACCCCATCAAATCAAGGTCTCCACTCACCCCATCAAGGTCTCCACTCACCCCATCAAATCAACGTCTCCACTCACCCCATCAAATCAAGGACCCCACTCACCCCATCAAATCAATGTCCCCACCCCATCAAATCAAGGTCCCCATCCCATCAAATCAAGGTCTCCACCCCATCAAATCAAGGTCTCCACCCCATCAAGGTCTCCACTCACCCCATCAAATCAAGGTCTCCACTCACCCCATCAAATCAAGGTCCCCACCCCATCAAATCAAGGTCCCCACCCCATCAAATCAAGGTCCCCACCCCATCAAATCAAGGACCCCACTCACCCCATCAAATTAAGGTCCCCACCCCATCAAATCAAGGACCCCACTCACCCCATCAAATTAAGGTCCCCACCCCATCAAATCAAGGTCCCCACCCCATCAAATCAAGGTCCCCACCCCATCAAATCAAGGACCCCACTCACCCCATCAAATTAAGGTCCCCACCCCATCAAATCAAGGTCCCCACCCCATCAAATCAAGGTCCCCACCCCATCAAATCAAGGTCCCCACTCCATCAAATTAAGGTCCCCACTCACCCCATCAAATCAAGGACCCCACTCACCCCATCAAATCAAGGACCCCACTCACCCCATCAAATCAAGGTCCCCACCCCATCAAATCAAGGTCTCCACCCCATCAAATCAAGGTCCCCACCCCATCAAATCAAGGTCCCCACTCCATCAAATCAAGGTCCCCACTCCATCAAATCAAGGTCCCCACTCCATGAAATCAAGGTCCCCACCCCATCAAATCAAGGTCCCCACTCCATCAAATTAAGGTCCCCACTCACCCCATCAAATCAAGGACCCCACCCACCCCATCAAATTAAGGTCCCCACCCCATCAAATCAAGGTCCCCACCCCATCAAATCAAGGTCCCCACCCCATCAAATCAAGGTCCCCACTCCATCAAATTAAGGTCCCCACTCACCCCATCAAATCAAGGACCCCACTCACCCCATCAAATCAAGGTCCCCACTCCATCAAATTAAGGTCCCCACTCACCCCATCAAATCAAGGACCCCACTCACCCCATCAAATTAAGGTCCCCACCCCATCAAATCAAGGACCCCACTCACCCCATCAAATTAAGGTCCCCACCCCATCAAATCAAGGTCCCCACCCCATCAAATCAAGGTCCCCACCCCATCAAATCAAGGACCCCACTCACCCCATCAAATTAAGGTCCCCACCCCATCAAATCAAGGTCCCCACCCCATCAAATCAAGGTCCCCACCCCATCAAATCAAGGTCCCCACCCCATCAAATCAAGGTCCCCACTCCATCAAATTAAGGTCCCCACTCACCCCATCAAATCAAGGACCCCACCCACCCCATCAAATTAAGGTCCCCACCCCATCAAATCAAGGTCCCCACTCCATCAAATTAAGGTCCCCACTCACCCCATCAAATCAAGGACCCCACCCACCCCATCAAATTAAGGTCCCCACCCCATCAAATCAAGGTCCCCACCCCATCAAATCAAGGTCCCCACCCCATCAAATCAAGGTCCCCACTCCATCAAATTAAGGTCCCCACTCACCCCATCAAATCAAGGACCCCACTCACCCCATCAAATCAAGGTCCCCACTCCATCAAATTAAGGTCCCCACTCACCCCATCAAATCAAGGACCCCACTCACCCCATCAAATCAAGGACCCCCACTCACCCCATCAAATCAAGGTCCCCACCCCATCAAATCAAGGTCCCCACCCCATCAAATCAAGGTCCCCACCCCATCAAATCAAGGTCTCCACCCCATCAAATCAAGGTCCCCACCCCATCAAATCAAGGTCCCCACTCCATCAAATCAAGGTCCCCACTCCATCAAATCAAGGTCCCCACTCCATCAAATCAAGGTCCCCACTCCATCAAATCAAGGTCCCCACCCCATCAAATCAAGGTCCCCACCCCATCAAATCAAGGTCCCCACGGTGACCCGTCAAAAGAGCGCACGACATAAGAGCGCCGACATAAGAGCGCAGACAAAAGAGCGCCGACATAAGAGCGCAGTCAATTAAAAAAACACATGTTGTACGCTAAACGAATATGACATGGTTAACACTTGTTTTAATTAAACAATCGGCGAGAAAATAATGTTTTTATTTATATATGATGGTTAATATGTTATGAATGCAGTTTGAAAATATTTCTAACCCAAGTAACATGGAGAAGATCGAATCAGAGAAAGCGAAGGCTACAGATATAGACAGGACAGAGCAAATGCTGATGTGAGTACGACATGGAGATGCTGCAAGAAAGATGGCTGACGAGGACGGATGAAAATGCTGAACGATGTTGTTCTGTCATCATCAGAACACAATCACGATCTTGATCCGGGTAAAATTGAAGCAGCGAAAGTTGTTTCGGCTATACGAACACGGGCAGTGGAAGGGGGGGGGGGGGGGAACCAAGGCAGATTATACAACAAGCCAGAGAAGGAATTTCGATGGAAGGAGCACCTCATTTGCCGGCATACGTCGCTTCACAACGTGCAATTGAAAGACAGAGAAAACGCAGCTGCCATACCCAAATTCACAGAACGTTGCAGAGATAACAATTCCTGAACCTCTTCAAACGACAACCAGACAATGGGGTATAGCCTACAACTTAGCAATATAAATGCAACTATAAAGAAACGTTTTATTAATTTGAACTTATTTTCATTTTGTTACATTTCATTTCAGTTTATATTCTCACTTTAGGCCTATCATTTAAAATCTTTGTATGTGTTATTAGATTGCGTTTTGAATAATTGTACCAGTTTTTTAGTTAAAGAAACTAAACAATTAGTTTTTTTAATGAAACAATAAAGAGTTAACACCAAACAATGCCTTCTGATCTGAGTTAATTTTCTTGTTTTTATTTATTAAATATGGTTTTTTCGATTTTTAGTTTGCGCTCTTATGTCGGTGCTCTTTTGTCGGGAAATTAGTGCGCTCTTATGTCGGCGCTCTTATGTCGGCGCTCTTTTGTCTGCGCTCTTATGTCGGCGCTCTTTTGTCGTGCGCTCTTTTGACGGGGTGCCGGTCCCCACCCCATCAAATCAAGGTCCCCACCCCATCAAATCAAGGTCCCCACCCCATCAAATCAAGGTCCCCACCCCATCAAATTAAGGTCTCCACCCCATCAAATTAAGGTCCCCACCCCATCAAATTAAGGTCCCCACCCCATCAAATTAAGGTCCCCACCCCATCAAATCAAGGTCTCCACCCCATCAAATCAAGGTCCCCACCCCATCAAATTAAGGTCTCCACCCCATCAAATTAAGGTCCCCACCCCATCAAATTAAGGTCCCCACCCCATCAAATTAAGGTCCCCACCCCATCAAATCAAGGTCTCCACCCCATCAAATCAAGGTCTCCACCCCATCAAATTAAGGTCCCCACCCCATCAAATCAAGGTCTCCACCCCATCAAATTAAGGTCTCCACCCCATCAAATCAAGGTCCCCACCCCATCAAATCAAGGTCCCCACCCCATCAAATTAAGGTCCCCACCCCATCAAATTAAGGTCTCCACCCCATCAAATCAAGGTCTCCACCCCAACTTCTGGTCCAGTTTTGACTTTGAAATATTTTCTCTCCATGCCTAGATTGAAGCATTAGACATACCATCAGTAGCAGCTCAAAGGTCTTTTCTTTGGATTTGGTGTGGGAATGCTGAAGGCTTAGAAAGAGGAAGATTGGTAGGATTTATATTCACGTCTATTTTTGTTTGGCCTAAATATTTTTTTTTTACGTGCATGAATGTATGTGTTATTTAAACATTTGTCTTTTTATTGTATATGTAGTGTAGAGGAAGTATTGCTTTCATGCTAAAAATTGTAACAAATCTGGACATTGTCCACCTCTCCTAGTCAGTCAAACTTAAACTTTGATTTCTGGTCACCAGAAGTGGGACTTTATTTTGGTGAGACACAACTTGAGTGCTGGTTTATTTAGGTCAACACAATTTATATTTATATATATATATATTTATATATTTTTATTTATTTATTTTAATTTTAAAAAGTTTTAAGTCTGAAACAGTTTATTTTTACATTGAAGCAATCTTTATTATAAACTAGACCTCAAAAATCATGGTTTTAACATGTAATTAAAAAGAAGAGCACAGTAATTAAGACCAAAAATAAAAATAAACGGGTCCAAATAGTAAAGAAATCAAGTACCAAAGCGTGTAAAGATATTATTTTAAAAACTGTGTTATTGTCTATGCAGTAATAACAGTGTTAGTCACTGTATAACTTTGCTAGTGTAACCCTAAATCTAACCATAAGATTTTAAAGGCTTTTTACCCACTATCTATCTATATATATAGCAGGGTGCTGTTAGTTTTCTTTCTATTTGTGGTATATAAAAATAAAAGTTGACTGCTGTTTGACACTGTTCATCCGATCGCCATCAAACTTTCGGAAGTTGATTAGAACACTCTAGGGGAGGTTTCTGTAAAAAAAAAAAAAAAAAATTTAATTTTGCATGGGCGGCTCCCTGCAGGGTGCGATTTGGCGCCCTGGTCTTTCCCGTGAGCGGTATGGCGCCTAAGATCATTTTAAATGGTGAGATAGACTATGGTTAGATAGGGCGTTCGCCGGCAAGTTGGCGCACTGGGCTATCTGGAGAGTGCTATGGTGCCTACATCCGTTTTAAACATTGCGATAGACTTTGCATAAGATTGGGTTTTTGAGTCTTTCTCTAAACATGATCAGGAGCGTCCGCCGGCAACCCGGCAGGGTGCAATTTGGCGCCCCGGGCTTTTTTGGGCGGTAGTGTATGTAAACCTGTGCCCGATAAATATAATCCAAGCACAAGCATTGTTTACATTTAAATTAGTCAGTTTAAGAAAGCAAGGTCACATGTCTAAGAATATAGGATTGGTAAAGCATTGAAGAAACCTCTTAATCTATTTCATCTGACATTCTTCTGGGTATGATAGTTTTTCTTAAAGAGTCAGAGATTGCAGACATTCATGCATTTTTTTAAATTGAAGAAGCTGTAGATCCAACTTTTTATTGTTATCTGAACTGAAGTGTCTTTTAAAGCTGTTTCTTTGATTTAACTGAAGTGTCTTTTAAATCTGTTTCTTTGATTGAACTGAAGTGTCTTTTAAATCTGTATCTTTGAATGAACTGAAGTGTCTTTTAAAGCTGTTTCTTTGATTGAACTGAAGTGTCTTTTAAAGCTGTTTCTTTGATTGAACTGAAGTGTCTTTTAAAGCTGTTTCTTTGATTGAACTGAAGTGTCTTTTAAAGCTGTTTCTTTGATTGAACTGAAGTGTCTTTTAAATCTGTTTCTTTGATTAAAGTGCTTGAAAAGATGGGGATTCCGAAGATGTGAAGATATTTGCTGGATCAAAACCAACCTAAAAAATCCTGGCCACAACAAGAACCTGGAGCCTAATGCCATCTTTCAAAGGACAAAAGTAAATAGCTTTGATCTGTAAACATTTTTTCAGGTGGTTTTTTATATTTTACCCTCACTAGTGTAGTTGCTGGTAATTAATTGTGTAGTTGTTGGTAATTAATTGTGTAGTTGTTGGTAATTAATTGTGTAGTTGTTGGTAATTAATTGTGTAGTTGCTAGTAATTAATTGTGTAGTTGCTGGTAATTAATTGTGTAGTTGCTGGTAATTAATTGTGTAGTTGTTGGTAATTAATTGTGTAGCTGTTGTTAATTAATTGTGTAGTTGTTGGTAATTGTGTAGTTGTTGGTAATTGTGTAGTTGTTGGTAATTAATTGTGTAGTTGTTGGTAATTAATTGTGTAGTTGTTGGTAATTAATTGTGTAGCTGTTGTTAATTAATTGTGTAGTTGTTGGTAATTGTGTAGTTGTTGGTAATTGTGTAGTTGTTGGTAATTAATTGTGTAGTTGTTGGTAATTAATTGTGTAGTTGTTGGTAATTAATTGTGTAGTTGTTGGTAATTAATTGTGTAGTTGTTGGTAATTAATTGTGTAGTTGTTGGTAATTAATTGTGTAGTTGTTGGTAATTAATTGTGTAGTTGTTGGTAATTAATTGTGTAGTTGTTGGTAATTAATTGTGTAGTTGTTGGTAATTAATTGTGTAGTTGTTGGTAATTAATTGTGTAGTTGTTGGTAATTAATTGTGTAGTTGTTGGTAATTAATTGTGTAGTTGTTGGTAATTAATTGTGTAGCTGTTGTTAATTAATTGTGTAGTTGTTGGTAATTGTGTAGTTGTTGGTAATTGTGTAGTTGTTGGTAATTGTGTAGTTGTTGGTAATTAATTGTGTAGTTGTTGGTAATTAATTGTGTAGTTGTTGGTAATTAATTGTGTAGTTGTTGGTAATTAATTGTGTAGTTGTTGGTAATTAATTGTGTAGTTGTTAGTAATTAATTGTGTAGCTGTTGTTAATTAATTGTGTAGTTGTTGGTAATTGTGTAGTTGTTGGTAATTGTGTAGTTGTTGGTAATTAATTGTGTAGTTGTTGGTAATTAATTGTGTAGTTGTTGGTAATTAATTGTGTAGTTGTTGGTAATTAATTGTGTAGTTGTTGGTAATTAATTGTGTAGTTGTTGGTAATTAATTGTGTAGTTGTTGGTAATTAATTGTGTAGTTGTTGGTAATTAATTGTGTAGTTGTTGGTAATTAATTGTGTAGTTGTTGGTAATTAATTGTGTAGTTGTTGGTAATTAATTGTGTAGTTGTTGGTAATTAATTGTGTAGTTGTTGGTAATTAATTGTGTAGTTGTTGGTAATTAATTGTGTAGTTGTTGGTAATTAATTGTGTAGCTGTTGTTAATTAATTGTGTAGTTGTTGGTAATTGTGTAGTTGTTGGTAATTGTGTAGTTGTTGGTAATTAATTGTGTAGTTGTTGGTAATTAATTGTGTAGTTGTTGGTAATTAATTGTGTAGTTGTTGGTAATTAATTGTGTAGTTGTTGGTAATTAATTGTGTAGTTGTTGGTAATTAATTGTGTAGTTGTTGGTAATTAATTGTGTAGTTGTTGGTAATTAATTGTGTAGTTGTTGGTAATTAATTGTGTAGTTGTTGGTAATTAATTGTGTAGTTGTTGGTAATTAATTGTGTAGTTGTTGGTAATTAATTGTGTAGTTGTTGGTAATTAATTGTGTAGTTGTTGGTAATTAATTGTGTAGTTGTTGGTAATTAATTGTGTAGTTGTTGGTAATTAATTGTGTAGTTGTTGGTAATTAATTGTGTAGTTGTTGGTAATTAATTGTGTAGTTGTTGGTAATTAATTGTGTAGTTGTCGGTAATTAATTGTGTAGTTGTTGTTAATTAATTGTGTAGTTGTTGGTAATTAATTGTGTAGTTGTTGGTAATTAATTGTGTAGTTGTTGGTAATTAATTGTGTAGTTGTTGGTAATTAATTGTGTAGTTGTTGGTAATTAATTGTGTAGTTGTCGGTAATTAATTGTGTAGTTGTTGTTAATTAATTGTGTAGTTGTTGGTAATTAATTGTGTAGTTGTTGGTAATTAATTGTGTAGTTGCTGGTAATTAATTTTAAATTTAGAGAGGATCAAACTTGTAATTGTTTTGAAAAAGAATTTTTGTCACTGCTACCATGAAATGTAGGAACACTGTCTGATGGGAATCAAGGGAACTGTCAAACGCAGCACGGACGGGGATTTCATTCATGCCAACGTTGACATTGATCTAATCATAGAGGAAGGACCTGACTACGGCAGCAAAGATAAACCTGTAGGTGACTAGCACAACTGTTCTACTATAAGTAAAATTGTTCATAAGTAGGTATTTCAAACCTGTAGGTGACTAGCACAACTGTTCTACTATAAGTAAAATTGTTTCATAAGTAGGTATTTCAAACCTGTAGGTGACTAGCACAACTGTTCTACTATAAGTAAAATTGTTCATAAGTAGGTATTTCAAACCTGTAGGTGACTAGCACAACTGTTCTATAATTAAAATTGTTCATAAGTAGGTATTTCAAACCTGTAGGTGACTAGCACAACTGTTCTATAATTAAAATTGTTTCATAAGTAGGCATTTCAAACCTGTAGGTGACTAGCACAACTGTTCTACTATAAGTAAAATTGTTCATAAGTAGGTATTTCAAACCTGTAGGTGACTAGCACAACTGTTCTACTATAAGTAAAATTGTTTCATAAGTAGGTATTTCAAACCTGTAGGTGACTAGCACAACTGTTCTACTATAAGTAAAATTGTTCATAAGTAGGCATTTCAAACCTGTAGGTGACTAGCACAACTGTTCTACTATAAGTAAAATTGTTCATAAGTAGGTATTTCAAACCTGTAGGTCTATCACAACTGTTCTATATGTAACTTGCAAAATTGTTTCATAAGTAGGTAAGTCAAACTGATTATTTTTAAAACGGTCCCAGAGCTTTTTTGAAAGTTAAAGGGTTATATCAGTATATAACACAAACTCGATCTATTGAGCTCAACACAAACACACACATACAGAGAACAAACCCAATTTTTTTCTAACCTAAAAAAGTAAGTACATCATTTAAATTAATTGCATTGAAATTGACTTTTCTCACTTTTTGATCAAATTAAAAATTTACAAAACTCTACAGGATTGTTTCTTGAACACGTAAAAAAATATTATTACTAATTACATTTAATAAATGCCATAGTGATTAATGAAACTTGTTAGCTAATGGTGCATTTTTAGTTATGTTGAGTTAAAAAGATTGATTTCTTGTCATAAACTTGACATCTATAACTATAACCTCTCAAACTTGACATCTATAAGTATAACCTCTCAAACATGGCATCTATAACTATAACCTCTCAAACTTGACATCTATAACTATAACCTCTCAAACTTGACATCTATAAGTATAACCTCTCAAACATGGCATCTATAACTATAACCTCTCAAACTTGACATCTATAACTATAACCTCTCAAACTTGACATCTATAACTATAACCTCTCAAACATGGCTCTTTGGGTGAATAGAAGATCTGTGCATCTGAACAAGCCTGTTGTAATGAGTTTTCTTGCTGTAACTATAAAGTACATACATCTGAAAGATAATAGATCATCTCAATCTTACCCCCACAGGTTGAAATATTCCATATTATTGAGCACTTTTGTCTGGGGAAAAGACGGCTGCATTTATTTGGAAGAGAAAGCACCATCCGGCCAGGCTGGTTGACCGTTGGCCCAAGTTTACCCAGCTCCAACTTTGATGCTGAAACCTACAGAGGCTACTATGAAGCTCAAGCAGACGCCTATTTGACCGGCTGTTCTGAGGAAATTGAGCGCTTGAGACCAAAATCCCCCACACCAAAAAATAAACAAACGCCACAACAAAGTGAGCGGGGGGGAAGAGGGGGGAGAGGTCGGGGAGGTCCTGGTGGATCAGGTGCTCCAAATGTGCGTGGTGGAATGAGAGCTGGTGGAATGCCACAAGGTGGAGTACAGGGGAGGGGAGCTCCAAGATTTAGAGGGAGGGGAGGTGGATTTAAAATGAGGGGGATGAGAGAAGATATGAGATAACCAGACCACTGAAGGGCTC